TACAAAGTCGCCAGTTCTCAGCTTCCAGCTCCCCAGATTGCTCCGCGTACTAAAGTTGTACTACAAAGTCGCCAGTTCTCAGCTTCCAGCTCCGCAGATGCTGTGCCTGCCACGAAATCTGCACATCGAGGTTCACAAAGTGCTGTGCCTGCCACGAACTCTGCACATGGAGGTTCACAAAGTGCTGCACCTGCCACGAAATCTGCACTTCAAGAAACAAGTGAAAACTCTAATCCCAATGGACGGACGATTCCGAGCATGACCCGAGACCCTCTCGCACCCGTCGTTCCGCAAACCTTGACTTGCCAGCTTCGGAGCCATCGGTTCCATTGAAAAATACAGCATTTCGTGCGTTCGCTATCTCTCCACAACGCATTTTGTCTTGCGCCTGCCACGAAATCTGCACATGGAGGTGCGCAAAGTGCTGTGCCTGCCACGAAATCTGCACATGGAGGTTCACAAAGTGCTGCGCCTGCCACGAAATCTGCACATGGAGGTTCCCAAAGCGCTGTGCTTGCCAGGAAATCTGCACATGGAGGTACACAAAGTGCTGCACCTGCCACGAAATCTGCGCATGGAGGTTCACAAAGTGCTGCACCTGCCACGAAATCTCCACTTCAAGAAACAAGTGAAAACTCTAATCCCAATGGACGGACGATTCCGAGCATGATCCGAGCATGACCCGAGACCCTCTCGCACCCGTCGTTCCGCAAACCTTGACTTGCCAGCTTCGGAGCCATCGGTTCCATTGAAAAATACAGCATTTCGTGCGTTCGCTATCTCTCCACAACGCATTTTGTCTTGCGCGTGCCACGAAATCTGCACATGGAGGTGCACAAAGTGCTGTGCTTGCCACGAAATCTGCACATGGAGGTTCACAAAGTGCTGCACCTGCCACGAAATCTGCACATGGAGGTTCACAAAGTGCTGCACCTGCCACGAAATCTGCGCATGGAGGTTCCCAAAGTGCTGTGCCTGCCAGGAAATCTGCACATGGAGGTACACAAAGTGCTGCACCTGCCACGAAATCTGCACATGGAGGTTCACAAAGTGCTGCACCTGCCACGAAATCTGCACTTCAAGAAACAAGTGAAAACTCTAATCCCAATGGACGGACGATTCCGAGCATGACCCGAGACCGTCTCGCACCCGTCGTTCCGCAAACCTTGACTTGCCAGCTTCGGAGCCATCGGTTCCATTGAAAAATACAGCATTTCGTGCGTTCGCTATCTCTCCACAACGCATTTTGTCTTACGCCTGCCACGAAATCTGCACATGGAGGTGCACAAAGTGCTGTGCCTGCCACGAAATCTGCACATGGAGGTTCACAAAGTGCTGCACCTGCCACGAAATCTGCACATGGAGGTTCGCAAAGTCCTGTGCCTGCCACGAAATCTGCACATGGAGGTTCACAAAGTGCTGCACCTGCCACGCAATCTGCACCTGGAGCTGGAGTTGCCTGGAGCTTGAGCTGTTGAAACCAGAGCTGGTGTATGAGTGGTATGATGAGTGGTGTATGATGAGTGGTGTGTGATCAGTGGTGTGTGATGAGTGGTGTATGATGAGTGGTGTGTGATGAGTGGTGTATGATGAGTAGTGTATGATGAGTGGTGTGTGATGAGTGGTGTGTGATGAGTGGTGTATGATGAGTGGTGTATGATGAGTGGTGGTTGAACAGCTGTTGAATGTCCGTAACACGGAAGTTTTGCACACTAAACTTCCTTTGATGAATCGGCGTGATCGGTCCTTTTCAGCAAGGGCTTTGCACGTCTTAGCACATTTGCAAGAAAGCAAAGGTTTCATGTCTGGAATAACAAAGAAAGTGCGTTGTTCCAAACAACATTTGCCAGAGGTTGCACCCCTAAGGTCTTCTAGTAGCCAAAAGTAACAACTTGAGTTCTACTATCCAGAATCCTGACCCTCGCTATTTAGCTGCTGGCACAACGCAGACAAGTCTCTGTTTCTTACACGCCTATCGTATCGCTGTGCAGCGAGCAATCAAATTTGTTGTGGCTCCGCATCTTAGTGGGCAGACCATCGACCACATCATAAAGAAACTCGGGGATCTGTTTGGATCTGTTTGGTATAGTTTGATGAAGAGCAAAAAACATGAAGAACTGATAGTTTGATCAACAACGCTAGCAGTTTCCAGTCTTGTGCTTGAGATGCCTTAGAGACCGGCGTCCCCTGAAAGAAGTGAGCCATGTGGCATGTCTGTCACACGATTGAACCTGCATGGCGCATCCCTGAATATCAGGACCCAGGACAACAAAAAATCTGACCAGAGCAACCAAGACTAACAACCTAGAAGTGATGGCCTCCCCTTAGGAAAAAACTCATTCTAAGTCTGTGCATACGTAGTAACAAGAAGCTATTAAGAACAAGTGCATCGCTTCTAGTAACAAGTGCCTTACTAGTAGTCACAATAAGCTATTAGGGGAAAAACGTTGAGTTTGTTTGTGCGCTCCTTCCACTTGCCATCGTAGGCGGTACATCCGACGCAAGAAGATTCCAAAGTCCACCATGTTCGGGTAGTCGGTTTGTTGTGAGCAGTACTGCAGGTATTATGAACACATTCTTGCTCCGTTCGTAGCGATGCCAGGAGCCCCTAGTAGTAGCGTCCGATCGCTCCTAAGGTCGCGATGCCCTTTGCTCCGTTCGTAGCATCCGTTCGTACGCGGATGGTGTTCGACCCGTTTCTCACAGGAACTACTTCTAACTCAGATGCTCCGAGAGAATCCCACGCGACGAAGCACACCCGAGGAGGCAGCCTGAACTGGGTAAAAAACCATAGTGTGCCACATAATGTACCATGTGTTTTGTTGATGCTAAGCTTGATACCTTGGAGTGGTGCGCTTGAATATCTTTGAAGTGGAGCCTGTTTGAAGTCAAGAACAGTTGACTGATGTGGCCTTGACTTTTTGGACGGATACATGATACAATGTAGCTTACTGGCCTGTTCCGCTTCTACCCGAGCCTCTTGCCAGTGCCTACGAAGCAGTTGGCTTGAAACCCGGAATCGTGCTCGGACTGTTTAAGACACTTGGCATGGTTGATGTGCACTATTGGGTTGGAGGCCATACCAAATAGAGAGGCCATCGCTATTCGGTAGGAGGCCAACGCTAGTAGGTTGGAGGCCATCGCTAGTAGGTTGGAGGCCATCGCTACTAAGTTGGAGGCCATCGCTTCTAGGTTTAAGACACTTGGCATGGTTGAATGGTTGCCCTTTGCCCACTGCCCTGCCTTCGGGACCCGTCCAAGGAGCATCTGAAGAGTGAGATAGACGCCTTAGATGTGCCCTCTCAGACTTAGAGATCCAATACAACACCAAGACAAAAGGGAGAAGCAAAGATTTCAAGATCTCGGATTGAGAAGAGGCACAGATCTTCCTGGCATTGAAGTGTACAGCGAATTCCAGGAATCATCGATTCCAATTCTGGTTTCTCACTCCGGTTGCTTGCGGTTGCAGTCAGATCTTAGGTTGGAGGCCATTGCAAGTAAATAGGGTGGAGGCCATTGCCAATAGGTTAAAGGGGCTCTGGCCTCGACTCGACAGCAACTGGCACATTTGAGGGGAGTCGAGGAACTTGAGTTTCAACTGCACGTGTACAGAGCCTTGAGTTTCCCAGAATGGATGGACTGAAGGCACACAATTTAAACAAAAGTCTGCTGCTTCGGCTGCCTCTTTGGAGGCTTGGTCTGACTTGGTCTGACTTGGTCTGACTTGCTGGCTCACCCTTGAAGCGTTGTGAGTTTTGGGGGACATTTCTTTTGCTAGTTTGTTTGGCTCGTTGTTGCTGGTTGAGTTGCGCAGCGCCAATCGTCAATTCCTTTCCGGCTCAAGTTGTTTGAAGAATTTCTCAGGACGCGGGAGTCGCTCCTGTTGAGCGGACCTTTTGCTGCCCGTTCCACAGCGGAACCCGCAGCGTTCTCGTTCGGCCACGGCCCGAGGGTTTGCTGTTTCAAAGGTGCAGAGGTTGCAGGCGCTCTCAGGCTAGGATGCCGGCCATCGCTACGTAGGTTGAAGGCTCGCTCTTAGGATGGCTAGGTCCTAGGTGCTCAATGCGTTGTTCCGTTTTTTTTCTTGGCCTGAGGTAGAATTCGGCTTCATGTGGAGGCTGAAGCCCAAAAAGCATAGAAGGGAGTTCTCAAAGAAACAGATTGTGTTTGGATTGAATTTGATATGGTTTGATGCTGAGGATCATTTTGGGTCTTTATTTGCTGCAGATCGAGGCAGCGGTGGGCAAATAGGAAACGAAAGGATGGATTGATGATCAATGGCAAAGACGTCAGCAAGGATAAATATGGACGAATAGCGGACGCATCTTTCTTATTGTTTGGCAGCTTGAGCCTTGCAACTCACTCTTCTTATAACAAGCTTGCAATTGCTGATGCAAAGTGAAGCTATGTTTGGTCGATCAGAAGCTACAAACACCCTTCTTCGTTGGACCTGTCTTCTTTTTGACATCAGTTTGACTGGCACTTTCACGACATGTTGGTGTTGCTGGCGACTACCATCGTAGCTTCATTTGTCGATTTGTTTTGCCAATCTCGCGTCCTTGCTTCGTTAGTAGCGATGCCCTTTGCTCCTAGTAACTTCTTGTTCCTAGTAATAGTAATGGCCTCCACCTAGTAGCGTCCCCACTCTTCTTATATATATATATATATCATTTTGCAAGTCAATCTATTTGATCTATCTATTAAATTACTATATATTGTAAGGGCTTCGCCCGGGTGCCGCCGACCCCTTTTCAAGAGGAGGTGCTGACCGTAGCACTTCCTGTGGACGGCCGCAGGTCTATCTGCG